CGGCAACAACGCCACCGGTCACCATAGCTACACCACTGAACCTACAAACCACCCTGAACACGAATCCCTGGTCACTTAACTTCGAATCATCTCCAGGATTCTCGAATCTTCGATCAAAGATTCGAGCCAAAACCCTAAATCACCTAATGAGTCCCAAATTCACACCAGCCACTCCCCTAACAACCCTTATACCCTAATCAACGTTGGTCTCGTTCGAATCTAGATAGAACTCTTCGAACCCCAAATCTGAGCTCAAGAACCCTAAAAGTCAAGTCCGGTTCAAGCCTGGTTCGTTTTTGATGTAAGCTTCCGAGGTAATTTTCTTTTCTTTCCTTCTGTTTATGTGTTATTCGTATGTCAGTAGATTTGTTTTTGATTTTTGATTATTTTTCTGTTAATCCTCTCCATCTTCAAAGACCCTTTTATGTGGTCGATTTCTCTTCTATTCAGTGTTAGGTGTATGTTATGAGATATCTATTCGTTTCGACTAATGTCGTCGAATACTTAAGTTTCGTAAACTCCCTGCTAAATGTCCCGAATATTGAAATAATTTGGTGGCCTATTTAGTCTATGTTGTTTGTCGATTGTTTGTTACATGTAATAGTTTGTATAGTCAATTTGAGTAACGTCCTCGAATAATTAAGTTTCATAAGTTCCGTGTTTCGTCCAAAAAACACATGAATCACCTGTGTGCTCTGTTTTAGCCTGCTTTTGTTGTCGACTGATTAGTATACGTTGTAACTCGCAAAGTTGATTCGATACATATTGTCGTTTGTGTTTTACAGTCTTGGAAGGCAACGACTTGATTCATACTGCCTGATTCTGATTAAATGTTTGTCTAAATTCAGTGGTAAACTAATTATAGGTTGTAGTTTGTTAGTTGGTGAGGTTCGAATTAGGATTAAAATGGTTATAGTTAACAGACTCAGCGATGTGAAGGGGGTGGGGTAAGGCAGTAATAATCAGTGGTTTGAGGGATAATTTGGGGTGTCAAAGACTGACAAATGCTTAGGCTTAATGGGTTGTCAATTGGTTAATGAAAAATACTATTAATCTAGTATTAGTGGGGTGCACAACACAAGAACATGGGTCAAAATAAATAATCTAATAAAAGCCCATGACTCTTGAATGAATCAATCTGACAAGCATGCTATAGTGGGGAACCAAATAACTTGCATCAAGAAGATACTTAGGCGTGGGAAGTTGAAGGGTATGGGGAGGAAGTCTGGATACGAGGCAGTCCTGTGAAGGTCTTTTGGGCCTATAAATGAGCTCATTTTTTACTGATAAGGGGTTGGCAATTGAGAGGAAAAATCTGATAATCCTAAAAGGCAAAAAGGGGGGCTGGTCAGGTTTTGGTTTGATACAGTTGGTTTTTGTTCAAGCTGTTTTGCTAAGTCCGATTGTTTGATTGTCAAGCTATTTTCTGTCAAGTCTGTTGTTTAGTTGGGTTGTTACTATTTCAGTGGGGTATTCTGGTTTCCCTGCTGGGTTGCTACTGTATTCTGGATTTCTGTGGCTG